CATGTAAATGTGGCGGTGATAAATAAAGCGAAGGAAAATTATGTGATCCTACTTTCATTTCCTCCACACTGTTCGCACAAGCTGCAGCCATTAGATGTCGGAGTTTATGGACCCCTGAAGAATTACGTTGCCAGACTACAAACTAATTGGATGATTAATAATCCTGGAAAGACGATGACCATTTATGACCTACCTGGAATTGTAAGAGAAGCATTTCCGTTGGCTTTCACCCCGAACAACATTGCTCACTCGTTTAGAAAAGCTGGTATCTGGCCATGCAATGAGTTTGTTTTTGGCGATGACGACTTTGCTCCGTCTTTCGTAACAGATCGGCCAATGCCTGTATCCCAGCCGAATGACAACACTAATGCAGCGCCCGTTGAGTCTATTGTCACGATTCCCCCGATTCAGCAAAATGAGGAAGATATTTTAGGTAACTCATCGCCTACATTGCTGCAAACTGAGGAACAAAACGAATTAACACCAGAGAATCTTAGCCTCACATTAGGTCTGGAAGCGTCCTTGTTACCTGAAATCGAAAGAAGCATGCCTAATCTTGATATCAGCGTGGGTGCAGTTATTGAGAAAATGTCAAGGAGTCCAGTTCCTGGTACATCAACTGCAGAAAATGAACCAGCAGTGACGTCTCGTCCAAGAGATTCATCAACATTCTTTAGTCCCGAAGCTGTACGGCCATTGCCAAAAGCGGCCCCTCGCTCTAAGTCTAATCGAGGTCGCAAGCGAAAGTGCGCAATCTTAACCGACACTCCGGAAAAGAGTGCTTTAGAAGAAGAAGCTAAGCTAAAGAATAATAAAAAGAAATCTACTGCGAATGTAAAAGTCAATAAGGAAAAGCAAAGAGTTAAGAAACGTAAAGTGGAAAAAAAAGAAAAGAGGTCCAGTAAACAGCCTAGGGATAGAGTCAAAAAGAAAGTATTACAAGAGAGTTCAGAAGACGACGATGATGAGGATGAGACCATTTGCTTAGGCTGTGGCTCATCATATTCTGAAGATATAAGTGGTGTGGACTGGGTCGAATGTATATGCTGTAAAGGATGGTCGCATATAACCTGCATAAAAGGCGATGGCAGTTGCTTATGTTTGTACAAACTGCAACTCAGATTCTGACTACGATAACTAATTTTTATCACTAGTTTAAAGACTGACTAATGAGTAGGTTGAGTAAGACTGACTAGAAAGTTTCACTTTTATAACCAAAGTTGTATGTTGATTTATTAGAGGAGTAATGTTTTGTTCTTTTATTTGATAAAATAGATTTAGTAAGTTTTAAGTTTATTACACATGTTTAAACGGCAAGGAGCCGAATTTAATTATATTTGGATTGTTAATGATCATTCGATGATCAAAAATTATTTTTTGTTCTTTGATTTGAGTAATGCTGATTGAGTGAGTCAGTTTAACTTATATAATTTTTGTTTTCTGTTTATTTTATGAACGGTAAGGAACCGCATTTAATTTTATTAGTGTTTCTAATAAACATTGAATATTATTTTGTTGTTCGTCTTTACTAAAATCCCATTCCCAACTACATGTTATTTCTTATTCCCGCTGTTAAAACTTTCCCCTGCAGTGTTAAAACCAACCCCAAACCGGGGGTAAGATCTAACAAGTGACTTGTTTGCCAAAAATCGTTTTTTCTCAGATATGGTAATTATTATACACATTTTGTTGTACTTTACGTAAAGCTCATAAAATTTTGCATCATGTGCCAAAAAACCATGTTTCTTAGCAAAGTAGTTTAGAAAATATTACGCTTAATTCAAAATTTGTTAGAACCAGCCCCAGGGTCCCCTACTTATATCTAGGGTTGTAACGGAACTCCACCTCCGCCTCCGTTACTGCGGAACTTCCGCAAAGAATTTAACCTCCGCCTCCGCAAAATTTATGCGGAGTCATACCGGAAGTTCATTTACGATCACAAACAACGCGCAAGGAGCGACGCTAGCCGACGCGGCCGCTCGGCTGCGTGTTTTCAAGTGAAATGGTCGAGAGTTTGCTTAAGCCGCGGGAACACGGCCAAGCGGGTGGTGGGAGTGTGAATGAATAACAGGAATCAACTTGTCAAAGCGTTCGGTACCGCGTAGTTGCAATTGAGCCCTGATTGTTTTAAATAATTTTGTGCGTAATTATTATTGTTATTTAAATAACGTGATGAAGCCGAAAACTAGTGAAATTTGGCAGTACTTTGTAGAAGTAGACGATAATTATGTAAAATGCAAAAGTTGCGGGAAAAATTATTCAAGAAAAGGCCGGACAACAAAATCACTGAAAGGGCATTTAAAATCTATACATAAAGAACAATCGATCATATCGTCAGTTATTCCTTTGATACATGTACTGAAACATACACTGCAAATGGAAAAGGAAAAAATTGACACAAATCCAAATTTCAAGAATAACATTCAAAAACTAATTGAAGATATCAATTCTAGATTTTGTGACCTACAAAGCAATACCCTGTATTCGCTTGCTACATATTTGGACCCAAGGTACAAATTAAAGTTTTTTAATGACGTAATTAAAGAGCAAGTTCAGTCCGTAGGTACTAATACGTTTGCTAACCCTTTATGACTCGAATGTTGCAAGCCGAGTTGACGATGATGAACCTTCTGTGGCCAAGAGAGCGAGATTAGCATCAAAAGCAAGTAATATTGACCCAAGCACAAGTTTTGAGATTTTGTCACCAATACAAAGTGTGCATTCCAACCTGGCTGATATGTTGAAGAATTGCAGTGATGAAGAGGAATCGGAAAATGACAGCATGGATACCAACAGCAACCTCATGATATGGAAAACACTAATTAATGAATATAATAAAGAAAATAGACTCCAATTAAATGAAGATCCCTTATTGTGGTGGAGATATAACATTAAATATAAAGTTTTTGCTCCCATAGTTCGCATTTACTTATCGGCGCCACAAAGTTCAGTGCCAAGTGAACAGTTACTTAGTGCTGCTGGTTTAATTTACGAACCCTTGAGAAACCGCTTAGAAGGCGCAAAAGCCGCAAAGCTTTTGTTCGTAAAATATAATTTGCCTCTTGTCAATTTTGATTACTAAGATGAATCATGAACATGTATGTACATACATGTTCAATGTGTACAATTGTACACATTATATATAATATAAATAAATGTTGCTGACTCTATTAATCATAAATTTATTTATATTTTCCCAACAAATTTCACCTCCGCCTCTGCCTCCGTTAACCTTCGCATCCACGGAGGCGAACCTCTTCACCTCCGCAACCGCCTCCTCCTCCGCTAAGTAGGCCTCCGTTACAATCCTACTTATATCGTCAGGGAACTTTATCATAGCTGGTCGTAATTGAGCGATTGATTCAGTAACCTTCTTTACAATGCGGCTTGGTGTTGGTGGACTGACACCATAAAAATCAGCAGCACTTCTTAAGTATGTGGGAGACATACAACTTGAATCATAGACGAGCATGACCGCCGCGCGCCGCGCGCGTTCCAAGACTGAGCGCGGCCGACTAACCGCACATATTTTATATGCGGCTGCATGACGTTGTAGCTGTACTTTGATGACGACGGACGTGCGCCTGCGCCTGCGACCCTCGAAACACTGAGCCAGGGGGGAGACAGACGCCTTGAAGTGACATTTCGCAAAGATGGTGATGCCATCTATCACATGGCCCGGAAATAATTCCCAGATTAGTTCTCTATTTTATTCAAGATGTCGCTGCGTCATAATTTATCATTAATAATACTTTTTTTTTTATTAAATATTTTACATCAATTTGTTTTATTGAAAATTATTAACTAATATTTAACACCTTTTTGAAGTTAATATTAAATATATTTAAATACGTATTATGGTATTTTATACAATAGGATAAAAACAGCTAAAACTCTCTTTCAGTGTGGTATGTAATAAAAAAACATCGTAAGCTAGGCAAAATGAAACTAAAATGGAAATTATAAATATGCATATAGTATCGGTTACTTTAATAATAAGTAATAGTTTTCATAAGATAGTTATATTTTTATATAAATTCGATATTATCGTTCTTATTAAAGCGTTGAAAAAATATTTTATGATTAATTAATTCCGAACAAATGCAATTCGAGTACATTATCGGGTAACACTCTTTCCTTAATGTCAAAATCAACTAGTAAACATAATGTTGTCAACAATGTCACAAAATGGCGGTTACTTCTTGCGAGTGCGCATGTTTGTAGTCCTCTGTCCATTTTATATTTTTTCGGTTGTTAAATATCCAGTAGTTAGTGCGTTGAGTCGAGTCTTGTATTCCTCCGCCTTTCTGTTGTGAGTTTACTTCGAAAATTTTTCATATTTTGGTGATAGAGACACTTTTTGTGAATATTGTGAGATTTGTGTATTTTATGAACTATTTTAAAATGCCGAGGCGTTGTGCTTTAGGTTGTGCTCCTAGTGGTAAGTACATAATGCCTTTTAACTTATCTAGTTGTTAGATGACAAAGTTAAGATATATATATAGAATATTCTTTATTTTTAAGTACTTGTCAACTTCATGGGTTTACTACAAAAATACCATCACTTCTGTAGTACCCAAAGGGTAATGAGTGTATTAAACTCACATTTAACTTGATATAGGATGAGAACCTATAATTATCTATTAAGCACAAACTATTCTACTACTAAAGAAATTTTACACGACAACCTAATGAGACTGCCTAACTTCTTAATGGAATGCGACTTGTAACTTGATGTATTCCAGTAAAGACGAGTTAGAATAGCTGAATTGCAACTGATTTGACCACACCTACCTCTATCCTCTAAAGTTAACGGTTATTTTTATGCATTAAAACATTATTATACCTTTTAAGATAGCTTTATATTAGATGAGAATTGATATTGATGATTCGTATGCTTGGTTTAAAATTGTGTAATGTTACATTGTTAATATAGATTTCTCAACACCTCATTTCTTACTTTCAGATGTTCCAATGCATCGGTTCCCAGATGCCATGAAATTTCCTGAGCGACTTAAAGCCTGGGTCAATCTTGTTGGTGGAAAACTTCAAACATCCTCTGATTTTGAATATTACAAGAAAAAAAGAATTTGTGATATACACTTTTGTGACAGTCACAGAAATCGTAATAAACGGTTGAGTGCATTGGCCATTCCAACACTTCATTTGCCTGGTGAGTCCTTTCAATTCTTTTTCTTATATCGTCTTAATTATCTGAGTGCAAACAGAATCCTACTTAGAAATTGTTCTCTTGGCCTATGTGAAGTATAAATTTTTTGTATGTCATAATATAATATTATCATTTTTATTTTTAAGGACAATCTCAGAGTCCAGTTATTTTGGAACAAGCTTTAATCCCTACTACGAGCCAGCCTATAATAGAACAACAAAACATATCAGGTAAATATATTTTTTTTATTTAAATTAAATAAAGATTTGAGTTGGTATGTGACTTGCTTATGACCAGCTATTTAACTTTTTTACCTTTGGTGATTTTTAGTATTTTTCCTTTAATCTATACTAACATAATTTATGCAGATATATATCTATTTGTTTATCTTTCTTAATTTTTTTTTGATTTGAGAGATTTATGTTATGATTTAAGATTTTAATAGACATTTTTATTAATGATTGCAGTCGTGGTTTATTGTAGTTAGTATGAAGTCCTCTCGCATTATGAAACTGCTAGCAGAACAGTCGCAGTCTCAGCAGTCAGTATAATATACAATTGCTGCTAACAGTGTAGTCAGTGTAGTAGTGTAGTGTCACTACACTGTAAACTACACATTACACTGCACTCAGTGTAATGTGTAGTAACTGTAGGCAGTCACTAGTTATCATTTTCTTTCAGTTGTTCTACTAACACTATTATAATTGTTTTTGTCTGCATAGTAAATATGATGTAATAATAACTGTTAACTTTTTTCAGAGCCATCAACAAGCCAAAGTGTTGTGGATAAAGAATTAACTTCTAGCCAATACCAGCCGAAATCAGGATCACCACCTGTGATTGCAGGTAAAATTCAAATTATGTATTTGTATAATTTATGAACAAAATTAACAAAGGAAACATAATTAACTCGTCGAGTACCGGTTTTGTAGACACAATTATAGAACAATAGGTTGCGGTCACCGGTGACCGCTTGGTGTTTGACAGTTTAACTGCAGAATGTTAGTATACCTTTACAGAAGGAATTCATATATGTATAGTATTTGTATGATATATACGTGCGTTTAAGATATATACATAATATATATGTATAATTTATCGAAAGTTCTTAAACCTACCATAGTTATGTATTATTGCTCATAATAATTATATCTACCCTCATTATTGACTATTTCCTTAGCTTCTGTTAATTTACTTTATGCTCTCTCTTCTATAATTTTGCACCTACCGCTGCATCAGCCAATGGTTTTAAGAATAAAAACAAATAAATATTATAAACAGGAAATATTGATTTATTTGTTAGTATGTATGTTTGTTGGTATTGAATAGGCTTAGAAACTACTGGACCGATTTGAAAAACTCTTACCATTACAAAGCTTAGTTTTCAGGGAGTGACAGGCTTTTTATCCTGGGAAATATGTTAGGTCCACGGAAGCTGAGCCGCGAGCAAAGTTTATGTCACTAATATTTTAATATAAATGTGCAAATATCTTCATGTGTGTTTCTCACAATTAATTGTAATAAATTTGCAATTTCAGGCACATCTCTGCAAAGGAATTCTGCATCAAACTGGCTGTTAGAACATAATTATAGTGTTTTAAGCAAGCCTCGAAGAACAGTTGGGAAAGGTATTGTTCAGCTATTATTTAAAATATTTTTTGTTCTATAGGCAGTGTGATGGCAATCATTCGTTTTAATACCTATTTTAGATATTAAAACTGGAAATTTCTTGTGAGTTTAAGTAGGCTTAAAAATGTTTTCAACAGATATTCCCAACAACTTAAAGCTGACAATAAAGAACTACACATTCTCAACAATAGTGTAGATAGTAGATTTTATCAAATTTATCAAATGTAAATTGTTTGTTGCACAATATCTCATAATGTAAAAGTTAACTTTTTACTTATGTAGTTCGAATTATCACATATAAATTATCTTTTCACAGATCTAATGGGTCCATTGCGCAAGAAGATCAAGGTTCTCCAGGCGGAAGTATCACGCCAACGCAAGAAGAACCAGTTTTTTAAAGCAAGATTAAATGGAGCGGAAGTGGTATCCAGCAAAATGGCTATGGATCATTTCGCAAAGATTTTAGATAAACCGGCCCGATTGTTTCTCCAAATGCAACTGCAGGCATCAAAGAAACCAAAAGGACGTCGCTTTACGCATAATGAAAAGGTGCTTTCTTTGTCACTATACAAAAAAAGTCCTAAGGCATATAGTCTATTAAGTAAACTCTTTACTTTGCCTTCAAGCAAATGTATGAAGCGTCTTTTGAGCACTGTAAAAATACACCAAGGAATTGTTCCTATAGTGTTCGAAAGAATTAAAAAAACTATGTCGGAAAAACATGAAAATGACCGGTTGTGTTCACTAATATTTGACGAGATGTCCTTGACACCTCAAGTGAATTATAATGCTCAGCAAGATATTTTGGAAGGCCTTGCCATCAATAAATATAAAAAAATTGCTGACCATGTTTTGGTTTTTATGGTCAAAGGAATAAAACAAAACTTCAAACAGCCTATAGCTTATTATTTTACAACCGGTCTAAACAAAGGAGAGCTAAAAAATATTATTATTGACGTCATAAACCATGCTCAAAGGTCGGGTCTTATAATAATTAATACGGTATGTGACCAAAGCGCTGTAAATGTCGGCGCCGTAACGGAATTAATAAATGAGACCAAATCAAAATATTTAACTAAGCTAAAAGAGTGGCGGTATGACCATTTTTTAATAAATGGAAAAGTTATTATTCCATTATTTGATGTGCCTCATTTGATAAAAGGTATAAGAAATAATTTAATCACGAAAGATTTGGTGTATGAGTCCAACAACATAGTAAAAACTGTTAAATGGGAACACTTCCAAAAAGTATATGCCGCAGACAAATCGTTTGGTGAACTAAGGCTATTAGATAAATTAACGGAAGAACATGTAAACCCTGAAAAAATCAATAAAATGAGAGTGAAATCGGCAACGCAATTATTTAGCCACAGCGTCGCTGTGGCTACGGAACATTTAACAGCCAGAGGCGATTTACCTTACGAATGTAAACAATTAATAGAAATTACTTTGTTGTTGGACAACTTATTTGATTCTTTGAATGTTAGCAGTTTTTTCATTCCTAATGGAAAAATATTCAAAGGGCCTATTAAAAGGCACTCGCCCCATCATGACTTATGGAGGCAAGCTAAAAAAATTTTAAAAACTGTAAAATTTAAATACAATAAAACCGTTGGAGACAAAACTCGATTAATCGAAACGAATATTCCATCTGTTACTAATTTAATTAAAAGTATTGAAGGCATGGAAACTATTTGGCATATTGTTTCCCGAAGATATGGTTTTGATTGCCTTTTAACAAGAAACTTTAATCAGGACCCAGTAGAAAACTTTTTTGGGAACATCAGAAGTTATGGTGCAAGAAACAATTCTCCGAACACCAAATCGTTTGAAGGCGCATACAAAGCGTTATTATTAAATAATTATAAGTCACCTCATTCAGAGAGAGCAAATTGTGAAGAAGACTCAAACAAGTGTCTCCAAACTCTTGAGTTCTTCTTCACAGAAAAAGTGAATATTTCTGATGTTCCCTCTTTAGAAAGTAACTATAATATAGAACTGAATGAAGACATTTTAAGGACTGATAAAGAAACTGATGCAGGTCAGAGAAATTATGTCTGTGGCTGGGTCTTGACGAAATGTCTAAAAAATATTGTAAGATCTTGTAAAAGGTGTAGGCAAAACCTAATCGATAAGGAAGAAAATAGAAGTGCTTTTATAAAAGCTAAAGAATATAACAATAAAAAATGGTTATGCTATCCTAGTGAAGAACTAGAAAATACTTTTCATGACCTACAAAAAATAATAGTCTCATTTTTAAAAAAAAGTGTACCAGAAAAGAAAATTAAACAGAATATTATATTAGTAGCAGATGTAATGGTTAATTTTCCATTTAACTGCATGAAGCATAAAGAAGAATTAAAAAAATACTTTATGAACACCACAATAAATGTTATTTTATACAGCTGGTGTAGATCGGTTAATCGAATTTTGTCGGGAAAATTGTCGTATAATGGTGATGACGAATTTAAGATTGCTGCGCAAGAATATTATAAAAAACACAAGCACTATAAAAATAAAAAATAATTGCTAATTAATTTTTAAGCATTGTTTTATTTTTCCACCCTATTGTTTTAATTATTACTCCTTAAGTTTTTAGTAAATCTGTTAAATATTAGGGCAAAATTAGTTTGTTAATTTGTAAGTATATTATGTTGTAGCAATGTAGCTGCTAGAACATAATATACTTTCAAATTAATAAACTAATAAGTAGGTAGTATTCAAGTTGTAAGCCGGGCATAGTTTCCAGGGCCAATGTTCAGATGTCGCTGGCGTTCAAAGAGGTTTGCTTTAAATTGCCCAGAGAGGGCTCTCTTTACCCTATATATTACTATACTCTTTGCACTGAGCGGCCGGTCGCCGCGTTAGTTTTTATATAAACGCAAGAACGTTTCTGATTGGCCGAGCGTATTCTTCGACATTTATTTTACCAATAAGATATATGTAGCCTTAAGTAAATTTTGTATAAATATGACCGCCTAAATAAATTCGAAATCATTATCATTCTGGTAATTCATATAATTGGTGTTTTACTAAATACCCGAAAGAACCCATAAGTAGGATCTAGTAGCGAGATATCTTAATGTTAATAGTTGGCTTATTTCTGTTGAAACTGCATGATTTTTGAAATCAAGATATGTATTTGTAAATACATGAGTAGTTAAGTACACAGATACCTCCTGTAGTAGATAGGTTACTGACAGAACATAGTATTCTTTATTTTTTAAATGTAGAAGAAATTAGGTGTATAAATATCATAATTTGATTAATTAACTTTATAAAAGTTATTGTTCAATTTAACTAAATAAATAATTATAAAAAGATACCTACTCACCTTTGCGTTTAAGATATTATTTTATGTTTTATTAAGGAAGGTGAAGGTGGTGAAGGAGGCCCTTAGTGATTGTTTACGGAGAGGTTTGTTTTACATTGCAGCAGTGAACCGCGTCATCGCACGCTTAAACACAAACGCATGGCAATGTACGACGAACGACCAATGCGCCGCGACTCCGTAAACACTAAACAAGCACTTATGGTGGTTCTCACTTATACATGTATCCAAATTTTTTTTTTTTAGATCAATAAATGAAGCAATTTCTGCACAAGTACCTGGTGACTCTAGTGTGTTTAGTTCCGATATTCGTCATGTACTGAGCACACCCCAATCATCGGTAAATCGTAACACGAAAGATTATAGGTTTTTGAGTAAAGTTCAAGAGACGGTAAGTCCTGAAACTTCATATTCATATACAGATAAATATGTAAATAAAATGAAAAGCAAATTAGTACGGCAACAAAATAGAAGTGCATTATACAAAGCATGTGGAGCGAAAACAGCTAAGCGCTTCACAGTGACCGATAAACATTACGGTGAGCAGAGGCGGATTATCCATAAGGCAAACTAGGCACGTGCCTAGGGGCGTGTAGTTACAAAGGGCGCGGGATCTCAGAATTTTTAAATAAATAAAGACAATAACATATCAACGATTAAGAATTAAATGCTGATCTGTAATAGATTATATTGCACAACACAAGCATCGATATACTCGTATTATGCAATATTGCGCATTTGTTGCGTCGTTGCGTCGTTCTCGAGCGTCGGATGTTACTTTGCATGCAATCGATTCCGGAGATCCCTGCCGCCGTGGTAGAGGCGCGGCTAGCGCGGGGGCGGCAACTAAGTTTTGTCGTCACGTCGTCGTCAGTCAGTTACGCGCGCTTCGACGCTCCTATTGATTACTTTCTCGCTGTGGTATTTGTGTGTATCAATTACCTTTTAGAGTATTTCTCAAAGAATGAGTGAATTAAACAAGAAACCTAGTGGTGCATCATATAAAAAGAAAGCTAAAGAAAAAGAAGAAAGACATCAAAATGTAATAAAGCACACGAAAAATATTGAGACATTTTTTTCCAAACCAAAAAGTGATGATTCGGAATTGTCTACCGCAATTATTATTCACAGTGTGTCTGCTACCGACCCTGTTCAATGCGAAACTCCTACTAGTTCTATACAGCCACCAGATTTGTTCGTGCCCACGCCGTCTACTTCGTCAGCACTGTCAGGAGTAGATGTTGTGCAGCAGTCGCAAAATACAATAATTATCGTGGATTGTGACCCAGCCAAGTGGAGTATCAATAACGAAACACAAGAATATAGCACGAAATACAAGCTAAATGTATAGATATAAGGTTGAAATTAGAACGGCTAGAAACTGCCTTCATGACCGTGTTTTGGAGTTTTATTTTGGTTCACATGAACAAAACCAACAAAAAATTGCAATCCGTTGATATTGATATTTGTACTGTTGTTCAATTGTATGACAGTATAATTCACATAATTTCTACAGAAAGGGGAAATTTTGATAAATATGAACAGCAAGCCTTGGAACTGTCATTAGTAAAAGAATATGAAAAGGACACAAAGAGGATACGGAAGAGAAAACTAACAGCAGATGAATCTGCTGAAGATATAACTTCTTCATTATCGGGTCGGGACACATTCCGAGTATCAGTATATCTAGGAATTATAGACCGAATTGTCGTTGAACTTGAAAAGAGACGAAAAGCGTACAATAACTTTTGCAATAAATTTTCATTTTTATGTAATTTAACAAATTTAAACATCGATGAAGTTCAAAATAGAGCAAGTACGTTGGTAACAATGTATTTTAATGATTTAGAAAAATGCTTTGTTGACGAATGTATCCATCTACGTTCTTATTTAATAACAATAGCTCGAGAGGGAGAACTGCCCCGAACAATGAACGCGGTATTACAGGTTCTGAGAAATAAAGAGCTTGAAACAATTTACCCCAACATTGACATAGCCTTACGAATGTGCGTATCGACGGCAGTCAGTAATTGCAGTGGTGAGCGGAGTTTTTCATGCCTAAAGAGAGTGAAAAACTATCTTCGCTCAACCATGACAGATAAGAGATTAAATTCGTTAGCAATACTAAACATTGAATCTACCTTATTGATGTCTTTAAACTACGACGATGTTATTGACAATTTCGCGAAACAAAAATGTAGACGTAGAAAATTTAATTTTTAAAATTGTGTTTGTTATTCTTTTACTACTTACGTATAATTTTTTTAATAAATAACTCAAAACTTATTTTGTTTCATTTATTAATAATAATAAATTATTTAAGCTTTTACATAATCTATAACTACATGCATTAGCGTAAGTGTTAGGAATTGAACGCAACCATATATAAATTTGTGATCTTGAACGTGTTGTAGTTTTATTTTTTGCATTTTTGCCGCTGCGCGGCGCTACTTTCTTCTCTTACAAAACTGCATTGTAATAGTCCGTCTTTAGTGAATAAATTACATGATTATATTAAAATACTTGCTTTATTGCTGATATTCCTACAGTAAGTACAAGGGTCCTGGTCTACTAAAGTCTAGGGTTTGATGATACAACGTCATCGTAATTGCAAAAACAACTAGTTAAAATTTATAGTATTAGGATGGCCATTTATGGCTGGTACAGGGGCGCCGATAAAGTGATTGCCTAGAGCGCTCTGGACCTTTAATCCGCCACTGACGGTGAGGTAACAGAACAAGATCCCGATATTAACAAAAATAAAAAAAAAGAAAAACGATTTTTTCACTTTTGAAATTAAATGAAAATGAAATAGATAAACAGGAAAGAAAAATGTCTCGCAGTCCAATTCAGATTTGGGTCGTGGAGCGCAAAAAACGTATAACCGCATCTTTGTTCGGCCAAATATGCAAAATGAAAAACTACGCCTTGTACTACAACATTAAAAATATGTTGTATTCTACAATTTCCGGCAACGATGCAACAAGATATGGCAAGGCACATGAAGTAACTGTAATTGTAGATTTAGAAAATAAAATTAAACAAAAAATAACACAATGTGGTTTATTCGTATGTATGGATAAACCATACCTTGGTGCGAGTCCAGACGGTCTTTTTTTTAAGGGGGGAATATCATCGAATGACTGCTCCCGCCTGGGTGAGGCGGGAGGGATTGTCAGACTCTTACTGACTAAAAACCACCCCGTTCCTTCTCCTGCACGTCAAGCCGGAGCCCCGGTTACCCGTTAGGTTCTCCGCGACTCCGAATCGGCATCGGCCCTATTGGGCCCCATCTGTGGTGGTCTGATGGCTCTTTGAGGCGCGCGCGGAACGCGACGCGCCGTACGCTCGGGTCGGTCTATTAGGGACAGACAGTCTTATAGAAATAAAGTGCCCGTCGTCTGCAGTAGGTCTTACATCGCTAGAAGCAGTACGGCAAAAAAAAATTTAATTTTGTGTACGAACTGCTGATGAAATCCAGATGAAAAAAACGCATAATTATTATTTTCAAGTACAAGGCCAACTGATGGTAACTAAAAGAAAGTTTTATTATTTTGAGGCCAAATGGCATCGAAATAGATATAATTTAAAGAGATGATGAGTTTTGGACGCCAGACCAAATTTCTAAATTAGATATTATATTTTACGACCAATGTGTTTTGCCGGAGCTGATAGATCCGCGTTAACCTCGTAAATTACCATTTAGAGTTTTAGTTTTACCATTTAGAATAGTTTCTCCGATATCCAAAAAAATAAGGTAAGAGTTTTAGAATAATTTGATTTAGTATGCAACTTACGTTTCCAGTGCCTAAATATTATGTGTTTCTTTTAGTTTAGGTAAAGTTTAATTGTGTGTAATTTCAAAGTTGGCAAGTTCATTATAACCTTAAATGTTTACCGGCTAATTACTAAATTAAAATTTGGTCGAATTTCAGTTATTGGCCATCCCCGGCCAATTACTAATTTTCCAATATACGTTTTTTCAATGCAGTTTTATAAGGCTACCGCCCAATATCAGTTCTCCCGGCGATCTCCAAGATTCTGGAAAGAATAATGTACAAGCGTCTGAATAATTTCCTCAACAAGCATAAAATTATTTCACAAAACCAATTCGGCTTCAGGCGCGGTTTGTCAACTGAAGATGCAGAGACATCTTTACTCGACTTTGTAGTTGATAGGGTTGACAATAAATTCAAATGTTTGGGAATTTTTCTAGACCTTTCAAAGGCGTTCGACACTGTCTCTGTTCCTTTACTTTTATCGAAACTGGAAACAGTTGTTTCAGTAATTTTCTGACCACCACGCCACACATAGCACAAGCATTGACTGGGAATATGTTTGGATTTACTTGATTTGCTGTTAATAAATTAAATTAAACTACAACTTTATTAATATATTTTAAATTTCTTAAGATTATCTACATTGTTACTAAAATAAAAATAATAAATGTACTTACATTGCATATTTACCCTAAGGTCTCAGTACTCTATAATATTAACTGTGTTGGTATTATGTGTACGAGTACGACAATGATGTAAAAAGAGCGGAGCCTCCTAATACAGGCATTGTTTGCTTAAATGGGGGCTCCAAACACGTTAACATGCAATGTACTTATTGATACAATAAAACTATTTGTTTATTTGTAACAGTCAGACAAATTTACATATTCCGCTCAGTCATGAAAAAGCATGTCACCCTTCCGTATACCAGAAATACCAGCCCAACAGCCGGAAGAAGATCCAAACCGCCATGCCCCACAACAAACACAAACACTACATTCGCTAAGCGACTTTACCTACCTAAGTGCACGCATCTACAACAAAATGCACCAAAAGCTAGACATCCACTCCCAAAATACATTTATATGTAAGGGAAAAGTTAAAACGTTTCTACTTACCTTAAGTT